AGGCCAGCAAGGAAGGCCGCACGGAGAATAGCCCACGAACTGTGTGGGAAGCCAACGGCGGCAAGAGCAAAGGCAAGGGAGAAGGCAAAGGACCAAAAGGCCAGCCCGAGCCCTCTCCCAGAGTCCGCGCAGAAGGCCTTCTAGGAGGTAGGGTACAGCCCACCTCGTCCAAGAGGCCCGCCGCCTCCCCCTCTGGGGCTAGACCTGCAGACCCTCCTCAAAGGAAGGATGAGCGAGAAGGAGTATACAACGCCGCAAAAGCTGTGGTTTACGCAGGGGCGGGAACGCACGTCCAAGCTCCCTGGAGGCTGCGGGGATCCCCCCTCCACCGGATGAGGATCTCGACCCTCCGGAGCCCTCGCCGCAGGAGAAGCTGACGAAGTGCGTCAGCGACATCGTCGCCAAGGACGCCGAGATCCAGGAGACAGCCAAGGCCTTCAAGGACATGACGGCAGACTCCACGAGCACAGCTTTTAGTGCCTTGGAGTCAGTCCTTGAGACGCAGGGCACGAGCTCTCGGAAGCCACGCGCGCCAAGATGAAGGCGCTGGTGGGAAAGGAGGACCTCTCCGAAGATCCCATCCTTGCTCGTTTCAACGGGCCGCCAGCGTTCGGACAAAAGGTGGAGTCTTGGATTTCGGGGCCCATATTTTTTCCGCGGGATTGGGACCCTGACCATCTCCAGAGAGCCGGTGACCTAGGTGCACCTTGAAGGGGCCTTCCCCATGTCCACAGGCCACTGGAGGTCAAAGGAGCTCCCCACCTCGGGAGAGAAGCCAAGACGAGACCTACAGAACCTCTCTCTGCCCATGAGAAGAGGTTAGGCAAGACCCCTCCGCCTGAGGGTGTCATGGGCCAAGCCCTCCTCGGCAGCGCGGGCTCAACCCGAAAGCAACGAACCCGCCGCTGGCGGGAGAGGGTGAAAGACTCCAATCGGCACTTTTGGACGCAGCCAAAGCGAGGAGGGGGGTCCTTCCCCGGAGGCACCTGGATTCGCTTCTAGCGCAAAGCCCCGGCACGAACAAGAGCCCCCCCAGTCGAAGAGCGGCCTTCTGCAGGCCCCCCCTACACAGCCCCGCCACGACGGGAATGGGGCGGCCTCCACCAGCGCTAAGGGGGCGGGCCGACCAGGCAGGCCCACCCGGCAACAGCGCAGAACCCCAGGCCTGAGGCAAGGATCCTGTGGCGGAGAAGGCCGCCACCCTGGGCAGGGCCCTCCGCGAAGCACCGGAATGGACCAAGTGCGAATCGCTAGCTCTCGCCCTCGCGGAAGCCGTCATGAGGCCAGCCTCGCCTACAGGGTCGCCTACGAGGTGCTGGAGGCCACCCAGCAGGAGTCGTGGCTGGACCCCACCCTAGCCGCTGCCTTCTTGGAGGATGTGGCTGCCCAAAGCAAGGTTGGCAGTGACTCCGACAACCTGAGTTTTGTGAGTGCCAACATCACGGCGTGGTCGCCGGATATCTTCAAGTGGCACCAGCCTGAGAAAGGGCCTCTCCTCATTCAGGAACTTCACCAGGGGGATGAGGAGGCGAAAAAGCTCAAGATTGAGGCCCTCTCTAAAGGCTACCACCTGTTTGTGCCTCCCGTTCAGGGGGCCAGGCCAACCAAAGGTGGGGTTGCCACTTTGGTTCCGGTCCACTTGCAGGGCTGGTTCAGAGGAGGCTACCTCTCTGAGGAGGGAGCTGGTTTTGTTCTGGTGGAGGTCGCCAGGCTAAGGCACTCTCTCCTCCTGGCAAACCTCTACCTCAGGACTGGAGTAGGCATCACGGGGGACCCCAATTCAGGTGTGCTTGCCAAGCTCCGGACTCTCTTGAGGCAATGCTCCAATTGGATTGTCGGGGGATTGACATTTCCCAGCTCAGGGCCTGTTGGGAGCTCACCAACCTTCGTGAGCTCTCCATCCTCTGCGTTCGCGGGAAGTATGAGCTCGACCTGGCGCAGCCTTTGCACCTCCAGCTGAGGCCTGCAAGCGGTGGTGGAAGAGGCTCCGGAGTCTCCGGAGTCTCTACAGTCAGCGCCAGTGGGCGCTGCAGGCGACGAGGTGGCGGAGGCCACGGCGGAGCCCAGGAGGAGCCGCCGGTGCCTGAGCACCCGGGCTCTGGCGCAGCCGAGGGGGCCGCGCCGGTGGGTGCTGTGAAGGAAGAGGATGAGGATGTCCGTCCCCCTCTCCTCAGCGCTGATTGTCTCTACTGCTACGCGTGCGGGATCAGCTGTCCCAGTGCAGAGCATATGGGAGGTCATTTAATGACCCAATCCCATGTAGAGGCCACGGCGCGCTTTTTCGGCCTCAGGCCGCCGTGAGGGGCTGTGGACACCACGCTCAGGGTGATGATCCCCCGCTAGGAGAGGCTGCCTCCCCAGCATGTCACTGGGTAAGTGGTTTCCACTCCCAGCCCCTCACGGGACGTGGACTCCACTCCCGGTCCTAGGACCTTGGCAGGTAGGACTGGAGTTATAGGTGGAGTTTCACCCCGCCACTTTGGCGATGCCCGCACCATGCGGAGGAGGCTGAACTCCAGCCTTAATTCATGCATGCTGACCTTCGGACGAGCCTACGGGCCGCAAGACGCGAGAGCGAGAGAAGTTGTGCTGGGTCAGCCGCTGGCCACGCGATGCAACCGGCAGAATTTTAGTCCGCGGCCTGCTCCAAGTCGCTACTTTCCGACGCCGGATCAGCTCTCAGATGCCCCTGCAGGCAATCTTTCCCCCCGCAGGCAATGTCAAGAAACGAATTGCCTGCCGTGCTGGATCCAAAGATCATTCCGGAACAACATTGCCTGTAGGGGGAAGGGGGGAACAGTTGCTAGGTCTGCCGGGTCAGGTGAGACGTGCTGGCGAATGCATGCGACGAACTACAAGGCAAATGCTTCGTACTTCCTCGGGCCAAATTGCCAAATGTGAAATTGTGACAATGTCCACGGG